AAAAAAAAAAAAAAAAAAAAAAAAAAAAAAAAAAAAAAAAAAAAAAAAAAAAAAAACAAAAACAAATCCTCATGTTGTTCTGTGACATTAACAGAGTTCTTGTTGCCATGGTAGCCATTAAGCTATATAGGGGAGTGACAGGTTGAAAAGAGACGCATGGTGCAGGGAGTACGATAGGTTGATCTGCTTGGCTGTCACGCTGTAAGAAAACTATGTTCTTGCTTGGCATTCATAGAAAGAATACAAAATATAGAGAGCAGGCTGGGTAAGATTGCCAACATTCACTCTAACTATTCTTTATCAGCTACCCCGTGAAATAATTTATTTAGAGCAAAACACTTAAACTCTTCCATCATCGGGATAAGAGGGCAGCTCAGTACAGCTGCCCACTAACGTCCCTTCAAAGACTCATCATGGAAAGAAGTCTGTTTTCAGCTCCAGTTTATATTGTTCTCTTCATGCAGCTCCCAGTCAGTAGATTCTCTCTCAATCTAATTCGATAGGGCTGCTGTCATCCTGGCCGTCCTCCACTTCATCCTCATCCTCACCAGCCCCCATTAGACTATTCAACAGGTTACCTTTGTAAAAACAATAAAACACACAAAAATAAAGACAAAAAAAACTACAGTTCAAATAGGATCCCATGAGTGATTAGCATTTAAAAACCCCATGTACAGTGTATATTCATTAAGTACATCTCTACAATACATGCACATGTTGTATCCATTTAAAGATCTCGCAAGTGCAGAAAAATACCCGCTGGTCTGCCAGAAATGTGGTCAGCTGCTAATTTTCTGTAGCAGACAAGACAATATAGTACCTTTTCTGAATTAAAAAAGCAAATGCTGTCACAAAATACAGTCATGTGCAAAAGTAAGTACACCTCATGGAAATTGTTGACTTTTTAAACATATTTGAAGAGGCAAATATTACATCTTTTTATACAATATTGTGCAGAGCTGAAAAAACAATCAAATATAAACAGTGAAATATACAACAATGATTATAGGCTGAACTCAGACCACATAACATACACAGTGAAAAAGTCTAAAACAAATTAAACGATGCGATGTGTACAAATAACACGAGCAGTCCTCCGATGCAGACTTTATAGTGTGCAGGACAACGGACTGTTTGATAATCCTTCACCTCCACCAAGTGAATGTACAAATTACAAAGGAGTGCTCCCCTGGATCGGTGGACCCACAGAGTAGGTCTCCTCAAGTGCCTTTTACAGCGCGTAGAGACGCGCTGTAAAACGCTCATGTGAAAACCAATAATTGCCTATGGGCATGGTTCCCACCTGGGCGTATTTCAGCGCGTAGGAGCGCGCTGAGAAACGCCCTACGCCCAAAGAAGTACAGGAGCTTCTTTGGGGCGTATTTTCCGCGCGTATCCATTAGGATACAGCCGGATAGCCCTCGGGAACGAGCCTTTGTCGCGCGTTTCTTTTACCGCAAATTGCGGTAAAGCGCGCGGCAAACGCGCATATTCCGTACGCCCAGGTGTGAACCCAGCCTAAGAGGGGGAGGGAGGCACGTAGTACCAGAGTAAAAGAGATCCTTTAAGGTCGTAGATACACTCATCAGATTGAGAAGAAACAATGCAGAAGACACACAGGGGGGAATTTATCAAAGCAATTACGACAGTTTTAGCCTCTTAGATAATTTTCTTTATGTGCAAATCTGTCTTTCAACACGTGCCCGTTTTGACCGGAGCTTACACTGCTTTTCCAACTGCACATGTTTTGTATCTGTTTTCATCAGAGATTGCACTACTTCTTCAGTTGTATATTCCCCCCCATAGTGCGTACCATCCAAAAATATAAAATTAGATAAAAACTCTTAAGGGAAAACGCGCTTGTAGGTCCACAGACCCAGGGGAGCACTCCTTTGTAATTTGTACATTCACTTGGTGGAGGTGAAGGATTACCAAACAGTCCGTTGTCCTGCACACTATAAAGTCTGCTTCAGAGGACTGCTCGTGTTGTTTGTACACATCGCATTGTTTGATTCGTCTTGGACTTTATTTCACTGTCTATGCTGTGTGCTTTGAGTTCAGCCTATAATCATTGTTGTATTTTTCACTGTTTATATTTGATTGTTTGTTCAGCTCGGCACAATATTGCCTATATATTTTGTATTATATCAGATATAATTGTAGTGCTTATTAGGTCTTTTTCGCCTTTTCTTGTATCATCACTGGTGCAGATCTTTTTTGGTTTATTTAAATATTAGATCTTAATACAAATACTGCTTACAGATAAGCGGGAAAATACTTAAAACAAACATAAATTTGACACTATATTCATTTTCATGATCTAAATTAACAACTTCATGACCACCGTACATATATATTGGCACAGTCCTGAAAAAGTTATACTAAGATCATGGCTGCTCCAGAAGATTAGCTCCAAAAAAATAAATATATTTCCAGTTACTTCCTACTTTTTTTACAACACACTATTACACCATTGAAATTTTGTAGAGGGATTTTTAAAAGTTCATGCAGGCAAACACACACAGACACATCTTGCAACTGAAGGAACTTTGCATGGAGCAGTGGTGAAAACATCACTGATGTAATGTCAGAGACTGGCGGGCAGGTATACAAAATGCCCTCAAGTCCTCATTTCGGCTACAGGGGGCAATACTAGCTTCTGATGCCAAGGTCCTTTCAACTTTTCCTACAGCACACTATTACATCTATTAGGCTGGGTTCACACCTGGGCATACGGAATATGCGTGTTTCTTCCCGCACGTTTTTACCGTGATTTGCAAACGCACGTTTCCGAGGGCTATCTGGCTGTATCGTAATGGATACGCGCGGCAAATACGCCCCAAAGAAGCTCCTGTACTTCTTTGGGCGTAGGGCGTTTTACAGCGCGTTCCTATGCGCTGTGAAACGCCCAGGTGGGAACCATGCCCATAGGCAATTATTGGTTTTCACATGTTGAGCGTTTTACAGCACGTAGGAACGCGCTGTAAAACGCCCAGGTGTGTACCAGGCCTTAATCTTTGTTGTATATAATTGTTTTTATGCAAATATAATCACCTTTATCTGTAGGCACTGCTTGAATAAAAAGATCTAATGTTTGCTGCCCAAAGATGTTAAAAAAGTAAAGAATTTCCACGGGGTGTACTTAATTTTTCACATGACTGTACACCCCACCCCCTCACCTTTAGGAGGGGAGGGCTTTGTTGTCCAAGATGAGAACCGTGAGGGCCGATTAGATTCCTTGAGATACCACAGTAAGAGAGCACAGAAGTTATCGGCTCACAAGATCTCTGATGGGATCGACAGGTATTTTAATTATCACATATATAACAAATGCTCTCAGTTGTATAATTAAAATGGAGCAAATAAAAGGTTTATGGTTACAATTTACACACATGATAAATATATTACTGTAAAGTTTGAAAGTAATTTTTTGATTATGTATTAACATTTTTTACACTTTGGCTGCTCTAGATTTGTATACTATATTTCATATTTTATTTCTAAATGTTCTTTGTAGTGATCATTTGTATTTCAGGAAATGTGGTATGCGTCCAGGACTAAAGGAACTGCAGTCCTCCTGAACACGCTATGCTAGTCCCCTAGCGTCAATGCTTTGAGTAACTGATGCAAGTAGGGATGCACTGATACCAAGTACAGTACTCGGTCCAAGTACAGGTACGGATACTTTTCCAGCTCCAAGACTACACTAGAGAAAAATTAAAAAGTTAGGAGGCAGCTGTCATTTGTAAGGAGCACACGGAGCTCCTGGGAGTTGTACATCTCTGTTTTAATGTACGATTTTGTTTTTATACATAAAAGGGATGCACAGATACCAGTTTTGCAAGTACAAGTACTGATACATTTTTGTTTATGGTCATGTGACAATACAGACTAATGATTTTAGGACAGTGGTTGAGCGCCAGAGCCAGGTAGCTGCAACCCTGGTAGTTCTCATGAAAATGCCAAGTATCGGCATTGGTACTCGAAAAGTATCGGTGCATCCCTAGATGCAAGTATTGAGCACATTGAAAAAGCAAGTGTACTTGTGTCTGGCCAATGACTCAATGTACTAAAGGCAAGAAGCCAGCAGGAAAGAGGCAAAAAGCATCTTTCAGAGGAGCTCAATGTTAACCTATGCCTTTCTACAATGACAGGGTTTCCTGAGATAAGATAAGTTGGCATTGGAGAACGTCTGCTGCTTTCAGTCATGACCTACCTCACCTATAGACCTGTACGGAGAAAGCGGAGCATCAATCACAATCAATTGATTGATGATTGGTGCTCGGTGTGCAGTTCTACCAGGCGTGAAACAAACTGCAAAAGCAAAGAACACATATTCCTGCCCTCTGAATATAATGATTTACAGTAACAGGAAGGAATGGGGTGTTTAAAAACACTGACATTAATACCATTGCTTTTTTTTTTTTACTTGAAGCCGATCATGTTCACATATCTATAAAACCTATAACTATACTAGTGTGCAAAGTTGTGAGCTCAGTTATTGTATAGTGTAACAGAAGTGTTATTTGTGGCTGGGCTGGCATGGTATCATAATCTACTGTCTGATATTAATCTATCATGATGCAATGTCACATTATGGCTGGAGGTGTTAGCCTGCTTCTGTCTTCTTTCCCCAGTGAAGATGAGAAACTGAATGTTTCATTATTCCTGTTCATCTACACATATGTTGAAAAAAGAAAAACAACATCCATCAAGTTCAAGCTAAAAAAAATAGTTAGAAGCCCTCGCTAATCAAGGAGCAGGCAAAGAACCCTTATAAAGCATGGTCCTCCATCACCTGCAGTGGTCATCAGAAGAACCCTGACTCAATGGTCTGCTATGAATGTTTAGGAAGGCAGCTAATCGGATTTTGTTCTCCTATAACTTTTCAAAAACGCTCTCCAAGAATCTGTTGCAGGTTGAAGTGTATGTGTATGTATGCACCATTTTTGGGAGCAGTAGAAGGGTTACAAGAACCTCTTGTCAGGTTCTAACCCTGTAGTTTGACAGATTCTAGCTTTAGTATTTCTTCAACTACTGAATATATGGGATCAGATTTTTCAGACTGACTGGGTCAAAGATTAAACTGGCAGTAAATGTTGCACGAGGATGACAGTCAGAGTTGTACACCTTTAGAATACATTACTTCAGCTTTTCTACTCACCCAATAATCCCCCATATGAAGATGACTGTTTAGGAGGTACGCCAAAGAAAAGTTGTCCTATCCTGTCCAAATACTACAAAAGAGAAAAACAGATCTGTATATCAGTCTAAAATGTACAGGTATTTGTCCTTTACCAACCAAAAGCAAACTATTCCTGGGCCATGTGGAGTCCCAGCTAATCCCATGAAACATAACCCCACCCCAACAAAAACTAGAAGACCAAAATTTAGTGGACACCAGATCATCACACTTATACACTGAGTGGCCAGATTATTATGACCACCCCATCAGTACTTCGTTGGGCCACGAGATGACTCCACGAGATGACTTTGTTGGGCCGCCTCGTGACTCTGAGATGTTGAACGGTGATGTGAGGAATCTAACACTGCACTGTTGCCCTTCTGTTGTCTTGTAGTCTTGCCACTCTCCGTTCTGCCCTAACATTGACTAGTCGCTGACGGCCACAATTCGCACGTTCAGACCCAGATTTTCGGCTGACAGTCCAGTCTTTAAACACTTTAACAACAGCTGCTCTTGAACATTTAACGAATTCTGCTGTTTTGCTGATACTCGCTCCATGGCTCCGAGCGCCAACAATCATCCCACGTTCAAAGGCTGTTAAATGGCGTTGTTTACCCGTATCTTCAGAAAAAAATCACTTCTACTGTCGTGGTAAACAACCTGCTTCCCTATTTATAATGGTCTGGCCCTCTAGCAACTTCAGCGCCAAATTATAGCTCATTATAGCTAATTTGCCTACAAACGTCAGGTGGTCATAATAATCTGGCCACTCAGTGTATAAGGTTGGTTGGACATCGTATTCTGAAACCATGGGAATTGGTATGGATTTGGATCCCCTCTTGTAACTAACATGCTCTCTTCTGGGAAGGCTTTCCACAACTTGGGGTGTGTCTGTGGGAAAATGCCTATTCAGCCAAAAGAGGTCCTGATGTAGGACAATACAACTTGGCATTCCAGAATAGTAGATATTACCTTGCGCCAATATACCAATAGCTGCAAGCACTAAAACGCCAAAGTGGTTTCCTCTTCCAACAAACAATAATATATATGCCACGCTTATAAATTATACATATGTGACACACTAGAACAGCATGCATACAATTCACAAACTTCAGAAGTGACGTAACACGTAGGGCGAAGCATACAGGCGCAGAGCGGAACAGAGGCCACAGTAACAATTGCTATTCGGTACCCTGGCTGCTAGAGTGGAGAGAGCTGGATTATGGTAGTGGTGGGGAGTCCGGGACCTGAGGAATACTAGGATTGTGTTCACTTTCACCTAGGTCATGTTTTTACATGCAAGTAGATTTTAATAAAGGATTTTATATTTTGTAACGGTTTTACGCTATGGAATGTGTTTATTTCCATCTCTAATACCTGTGGCGGAGAGTTGCTGGCGGTTTCCTAATCCCTGGGGAAGTGGAGGAGGAAAATTAAGTGTGAATCAGAGTTTTCTGCCTGGGGATTCCCTAAGCGATATTTGACCTGCGTTGCGGTCAACATTGAAGGGGAGCAGCTCACTGTGAGGTAGAAGTGTGGGAGTGGAGCAAGACTTTGGCACATTTGGAAGATTGAACACTTGAGGAATATTCATGTCAAAGATTGGACATTTATAGTTATAAATTTGCACATGACGGTGTTTTATATTTTATGGGGAAAAAAATCGTTACACATCTGTAAAAATCTTTGTGACTTGTATGCATAATTCAGAAGCGCGGCACATATATTATATTATTGTAATCCGGCATTCTAACATCCCTGTGGTGAGGTCATGGTCCTATGCAGCCCAGCCCAGCTCCTCCACTCCAAACTTCTCAAGCCTTGTCTTCATAGACAAGAGCGTCTTCCTCAAACTGTTGCTAAATGGCTGGGAACACACAATTAGAGCTGCAACAATTATTCGATTAAGTCGATTAAAATCGACGATGGAAAAACGTTGCCAAATTGTCCTTAATGTCATGTTATGTCGTAGCATTAACAGTACCCCTCACTGGAAACACTTGAAATAAATAATAAAAGGTGTACACGTACTTTGGGGTTTAGAGTGTACAAACACCAATACTATATTTCACAGCAAAAATGTCCAACCTACCTCATTATACATAGGATCTCTTTTTAAAGATGGCTGATACTGTTCACACAATACTGTAAATACGGTTAATTTCCCACTGCAAAGAAAAAAAATCAGAGTTACCAGGAGCTTCTGGGGTAGCACATTTAAAACTTAGAGATTAGCTGATTAATCAAGCAGGAAACAACTCCCCAAATACTTTAAAAGCAGACCTGTACTTTGTGAACGCAGGGAACAGTAACAGATTTGCTTTAGGCCTTGTTCACACCAAGCGCGTTCCAGGAGAAGAGCAGTTACAGACCGGAGCAAAACTGCGTCCAAATGTATTCCAATGGTATTTTTAGCTCCAGTTCACATCGCAGCGTTCCGTTCCAGAGCAGGTAAAAAAAACTGCAGCAGGCCCTATTTTACCTGCTCTGGAATGCATGCAAACGCCTGGAACGCACTGAAAGCCCATTTAAAACTTTAAAAAAACTTTTTTTTTAACCAAAAACGGCCCAGAACGCATCAAAAACGCAGCACAACCCTCTGCACTGCGTGTGCAGAAACTCATGCACATCTGCTCTGCATTTAGTGTGAACAAGGCCTTAATGCCCCCTTTCCCAGACTTTCTTATTCTTAAAGCTTTAAAGCCTATCAGAGGATGAAAAAATAAAAATGTTAAAATGCCCTTGCAGTGGGTCTATCCCACACTGCAAAGGGTAATTGCTTGTTTTTTGTCTAGGGGGATTCTTCAATACAGTTTTACTTACCTGATTTCCACTCCCTCTGGCTCCAAGACCAGAGCCTCCTCTCTACTCTGTGCCAATAGTCGGAGGGCTCGCTGACGTCATTACATCTAATTAAGGGCCCATAGCTCTTCAGTAGATGTGAGGATGCCAAGAGACAGTCTACAGCAAAAGGCGAGGGGAGTGAGGTGAGAGCTGACTCCCGGGGAGCAGGGATCAGGTAAGTAAAAGTGCTTTAAAGAAATCCCTTTAAAAAAGACAAATGAATATTTAATCCTTGTGTAAGTCTTACACTACTAGTTTGATTTATGTACAAAACCACATATTTCTTGCACCAGGTCACTGTGATCCTGAAGGGCCCTGTGTAGCCCTTCTTCAGGATCAGAGTGACCTGGTACAAGAAACAAAATGTGAAAAAGGTAATTTGTTCTGATGCAACTACATCACAACAGGACTGGGGGTAAAACACTAAAATGGGACAGATCTCTCAGGGAAGTGTACCATTCAAAGTGGACAATTGCTGCATTGATTGAGGGGCATGATGAAAGGATCCTACAAGATATGAATTATTGACACACCTTTTGTAGTATTCAATCACATGACATCTCAGAGCTGCCCAAAACTCAATTTAAATAGTTTTTTTCTGCCTGAAAGGTTCATTGTTTTGAGTGAAAGCATATGCTGTCTTGCACTAGGGACCAATGACGCAAAATGCAGCCAATCAATGCAAAATAAAATAATAATTAAATAAGTTGTGCAGAGAAGACAGTATCACACCATGAAACTTTCTTAAAACTAGAGCTGCAGCTAACGATTATTTTCAAAATCGATTAGTTAGCCGAACAATTGTCTTAGATTCTACCCCAGAGTTTTTATAGTTCTAAAATATACCCAAGAATACGTAAACCACAAAACCTACCCCTCAACAGCCAGTAGTAGAAACCAAATAAAGTTTAAAAGGGGCTGTACAAAAGGAGGACCCCTCTCTATTGAAGGATGCTTCTCTGTATATGTTGTGAAAACCACTGATGCACTGGTTTTGTTTTTTAAACAGAGGAACCTGAAAGAAAAATGCAAAAGTCATTACCAGAAAAAATTAAAATGAAGGCACACAAGTTTAGTGGTAAGAAAAGTCAATGCAATGCTGCATTTACAGAATGTCATCTTTGCCCCTGTATTAACCAATCCAATGTAACACCTTTTCAGGACTCATTTTTTGGTTAAGCAAAATACAGAAGTGTACAAAATAGAGATGAAACCCTTAGTTCTTGTGAAACATGGATTTGCTGCCTGTCAGACCTACTAACTAAATTCAGGTCAGTACCTGGCCATCAGGGTGCCCCCTAAGGGGTTTCCTAAAACAAGCATGCATCTCTTTATTCATGGCCTATATTTTTTAGGGTTCTGTCAGCCATTTCACTACGCAGCAGATTGAGCCGACATGCTTAGAGCTCGCTCTCATATGCGGAGACTAATAATGAGGTCTGGCTACCAGGTATGATGTGAACCGAGTAAGCCCTAATTCACACTGGAATTGGCCCGCGCGTACAGCTCCGTACCGAGCAGCTCCCGGGAAGGCCAGGTGCTGCGTGTGATTAGTACGCAGCCCCCGTCCTTCTCTATGGGACTACAGGGCCGTACGCCCGCCTACGCTCACCCACCCTGCACGTCTGTACGGGGGCGGGTGAGCGTACTTGTACGTTGACAGGATGGATCCTGTCTGCGTGCGAGCCAAGAAACATACACCCCTACGGACCTGCACTTGAGGTGAGCATAAGACCGCGTGGTCCCATAGAGAAGGACGTGGCCTGCGTACTTATCACGCCCAGCACCCGTCCTTCCCAGGAGCTGCCTAATACTGCCCTGCACGCAGCACGGAGCTGTACATGCGGGCCAATTCCAGTGTGAATGAGGCCGAATAAAAGCTTTATACCACCCAAAGCTCTACAAGGTCTATGGGGCTACCGGACCTAGACCTTAGTCAGTTTGTGAGAAAACAAACACATAAAATCACACGCATGTCCCCTTTCAAACAGCGTTACAATCAGGTCCAACTTTTTTTGGAGGACTTGATCGGAAGTTCAATGTTAAGCTAGCCATGCACCTTTAGATTGTCTGCAGATTTTCTATGGTCAGATGAAAAAAGCCCAACAGATTCCTCCATCTACACTAAACTGTATGGCTAGAGGAATCTCCCACTGGGCCAAGCTTCAGTATCTTGCTAGTCGGCCCCGCTGGCTCTCAAAATACCTGAACAATCGGATTGGATGCAGGCATTCTTCAGGTATTTTAAGAGCCAGCGGGGCCGACTAGCAAGATAGTGAAGCTTCGCCCAGTGGCATAGATGGAGGAATCTGTTGCACTTTTCCCATCTGACCATAGAAAATCTGCAGATAATCTATAGGTGTATGGCCAGCTCTAGTCTACGTGCCAGCAGATGTAAACAGGCCTGTACCCATTTACATAAAAATGGAAAAGAGTTGCATTTTGGCAGACCTGAAGTAATCAGATGTAAACGGGCACATGTCTAACTGCCGACAGACAAAACATGGGTCCGGTTATTGCACTTTTTCAACTCCATCATAGGACAGAGGAAAAAACGTTTGCATGTCACAAAAGTGACATTTGTTTCATACTTCTGATCAGCAGGAGTTCTGTGCACTGATCCCCTCCTGATCGGAAATAAACACTGTCCATGAAATTGGCCTTTTATGTGTTTGTGCAAAGACACACCTTTCGTCCTAGGAGTAGGAGAGGTCAGACGAAAGGTCTTTGCATTCTTTCTGCAAACACTGAGCTAAAGAACTGTGCATGTAACACTGAATAGTGAATTCCTATGTACCTACCAAGAGGCCATCATGGTGCAGCCTTATAATAAAAAAAAAATCTGGTGACCTTAACAGGGCAGGGAACTATAAACTCTGCACCTGAACTTTACAATACATACATGCCAATCATTTACAATTATGGACTAATAAATGGGTCATTCCAATCATATTTTTAAAAATGGGCAAATGTTTGCTGTACTTACTGCAGGACGGCCTGTACCACAAACATATCCACCTCACTGCGGTAGCCACGGGTAGACGAGTATTCTACTAACATATTGGCGCAGCCTTCACCATCTGATGAGTGCAGAAAGTGATACCGGGACTCATAATAGTTTTGCTCTGAAAAAAGGAAGAAATTACTGTTGCATAATGGTAACCAGATGTTTGCTTTTAATCTCCAGAAGACAAGATTAAATGTGATTCAATGCTAAAGTCAACACAGTTTCTAGGCAAGGGTCACATAGAAAGATGAGCCCTCAAAAGTAACTGCATGGGTCACAGAGAGGAAAAAGGGGCATATTTCCCGCCAGACACAGGCTCCGCCCTAATGCGCTTCACCCATAGCGGGGCTTAGTTGTAGAGGAACCTCTAGACCTAAGCCCTCCTAAGAGTAAAATGCATCAGATGTGGAGCCTGTGTCCAGGAAATGTGTGATCAATATATTTGATCTTTAGAATTTAGTGATGGGCCTCTTCTCTTAGTGGCTGATCCCAGATATGGGAGGGATTATTTGAAAGCCTGGGCACCAGTGAATGGTTCCTGTAACATGTGTGCGCCTAGATCGGTACCTTGGGCAGAATGCAGATTGCTGTAACCGCATGCGTGACAGGATCAGAGTGCATCCCACTGAAGTCCACAATAAGATGATGGAGATACGATCCACTCAATGTGAAAGTTTTGACACATAAAACATCTCATGCTTGACTTATTTCAGTCACAGTAATAAATTAGGCCTTATATCTAGATTTAGGAATCGCATTATAAATTAGAATAACTGGCAGAATTAGCATGACGAGTAGCTTTTCATTCAAGAGGTTCTATAAAAAGAAACTGCATATCAGAGTGCATACAGAAGCCCAGATGTAATAAAATAGGGATCGAATGGTCTATAAACATCATCTACTTTGTAAGATCAATCAAATGTCAGATGGCAGTATAACCTACCTTTCCATAACGTAATAGCTAGTAATTGGTGTAACTTTGGGTGACCTAGTTTTCCTGGCCCTCCAGAGGACCATTTGAGAGCCCGGGACACAAACGCCACTCGCTCCGGGGAGTTTTGATCCATCAAACTAAACAATTTGGCCAAGTTTTCTACAAAAAAAAAAAAATGTACAAGATTTTAATACATGTACATTTTATTTGGAACAAGAGAACATGTAAAATAGTACATTCCTTGATGAAAATGTAAATTGTACAGACAGGCGCCAAATAGAGAGAGGTAATGGCCAGTAATGTCTTCATAACCTAAATGGCTAATGTATTCATAAAGTAATAAGAGTACTTTACATTTTTTTTTTTTTTTTTAGTTGTTTGACCCCACAATAAATTTCAAATAGTAGGTACGAGCAACTACCATCTTTTTATTCTACCGCGTGAGTTGAGAAAATATATAATTGTTTTGGGGGTTTTAAGCAATTTTCTAGCTTAAGATTCGGATTTTAACATGACTGCAAAAAATAGCTTCAATAGTCAGCACACTCATAAAGATTTGTGTTTATCATCCCCCATTGCAGAAATTATGTTTTATTTAAGGAGGCTGCAAGCAGCTTTGTTGTCACGCTAATCTTTCCCCATCAATACTGCCTCAGAAAATGATCTAGGACAAATAGGTTGCCAGTAAAGTCAAAGCAATGGTGGAAATCATGACCATCATATTGGTTGCATATTAGGAACTTGGAGGGTACTAAATCTATTCAGACAAGCAGCTAATCAGAAGACTTCAGCCATTGCCACCCCATCATTCTGCAAAGCAGGTTTCTTTAAAGTTTAATTCCAAACAGATATTAAAAAAAACTCAAGTATTTATTAATTAAATGTACTTTATATGTAACTAGTGTAAGTACCGAAATAGGACCAATACCAGCTACTTGCAATCCCCCATATACAGCAGCCTCAGAAAGGGAGAGAGAGGGGAAGCAGTTGGGGAGTATTAGGTATGATGTGTTGAAAAGTAACATGTCAACAAGAGGAAAGAGCATTCAGCTGCTGCTCCTTCACTGTCCAGTCACACACTGGGGGTATGGAGGGGACATAGCAGGGTTGCTTAACAGTGGTAGAGTCAGGTCAGCAGTCTGGCTATGCTGTCTGGTCAGGCTGTGCACATATCAGTGTTTATTAATAAAATAGATGCTCTAGAAATTCTTATACTCACCAAGGAGAGTCCTTGGCGAGTATAAGAATTTCTAGATTTTATTAATAAAAAGGATTACTGCACCAGGAAAGGGGCCCGGTGTTGTTTTTTTTAATGTTTTATGCAGTGCACGGAATCCCTTGTCTGGAACGGGGCAGCCTTACTGGATTGCAAGAATTATTTCTGGACTGAGGGTTCTACTTAGCGCTGGTCTGTACTTTTTTGGATTTGTTGTGCACATCTCAGGACTGGATGGGCAGAAATACTAATCAATGGGCAGGTAAAACAGATCCCTTTTACTTATTTTAGTGTTGTATTTTTTTGTGCCTGAGGTTTGGCTTTAAGGAAGGAAGAAGGAAATTTGACATCAGTTCATACTCACCTAATAAGTCTTCCGTTACTTTAGCTTCAGATTTTTCTAGTGACTCCAGCACAAGCATGGACAGATCAGCAGCGCTGTTTTGCTGCAAGGCAAATTAAAGTATTTAAAAAGAAGGTTTTCCGGAAAAGTAAAACACACACATCTATAGTTCTCACAGGGGGAAAAGCTGATTGTACATGTCACTGGATTAAAACTGCGGGAAGAGCCCCGCGCACTGCCAAATAAGGCAACAGAGTTACATTTTAATAGCTGCAGCCAATGTGACATTGATAGAGTGTGGATATGTTCTTACTTGACCGTGGCTGAAAAACAGCAGAGCTCCAGAATACATTAATTCTCTGGCTTCCGTGTGTTTGTTCTGTGGCATATACCTAAAAAACAAACAAGAGTAACTTTAGCTGAGAAGTTACCATTTGTAAGGAGATCGCTCGGGCAGAACTGCCAGCTCAGGCAAATCAAATTACAAGATCAGATTTTATCCACATCCTGCTAGAACCACATCTGTGTAAACCTAAAGCCAGGCTCCTGCCAAAAACTTCTGAACAGAACTATTGCTGAAAGGAGAGACCCTGTCAGGCCTACTGTTGTGTGTCCCCTCTGGTAAGATTTCCTCTCACTTCCTTCCTAGTGACAAGTCATCAGAGGCCCAGGAAATGATCAACAATCTCTCCAATGGGGACAAACTGTAACAAAACATGCTAGGTTTAGCCTTCAGTCACACGAGTAACGGACTGCCCGTGGAGCTCCATGCTGCGTGCACGGCCATATCGGGCAGCTCCCGGGAAGGACAGGCTGCTGTGTGTGATTTGTACACAGCAGTCTGTCCTTCTTTATGGACAGGATCCATCCCGTCAGCGTACGAGTATGGACACCCGCACAGATGAGCGGGTGAGCGTAGGACGGCGTACTCCCATAGAGGAGGACAGGCTGCTGCGTGTAATCACCCGCAGCAGCCTGTCCTTCCTGGGAGCTGCCTGATATGGCCGTGCAAGCAGCACGGATCTGTACGGGCCGGCCGTTTCTCGTGTGAATGAGGGCTTAGTGTGCTGTCTGTGCCCTCCTGTCCAGGTGATACTCAATTGTCTAAACAGTGCAATAGACAAGCAAAAATAAAAATCTAACACTTCCCTGTTATCCAAACTCTTCACCCTTTAGTGAATAACCCTGTTAGTTTTGCATAGAAGGCAGGAGAAGTGAACAATCACAGGGGTAGCCAAATTCCGGCCCTCCAGCTGTGGTGAAACTACAAATCCCATGAAGCATCTCTCTCCGGGAGTCATGTCTGTGGCTGTGAGAATCTTGCAAAGCCTCATGGGGATTTGTAGTTCCACCACAGCCGGAGGGCCGCAGTTTGGCCATCCCTGATCTAGGACAACATAGCTGAACTGGAAAAATTCTCCAATTCAGCTCAATTTCCAGTTCAGCTATGTTGTCCTAGATTGTTCACTTCTCCTGCCTTCTTCCAACTCTTCACCCTTTAGTGAATAACCCTGTAAAAAAGGAATGTTTTGTCTGGAGTTGGACTGGAGATCACCAAGTATGCAGAAGACAATCCTACATCTCTCTGCAATGGTGTACTGTGCACAATACTTTCAAACCATTACCTTTTTCCACATACGTAGTATGATGTCATATACAATCTCGCGGTTAGTTTATTAATTTGTACTGAGATTGTAGTCCATCATGGGAGTGAGTCTGGATTGGTGACTACTTTACAACACACACAGGGACCATGGGGAATAAAAGTAGCCCCCCTCCAGAAGGAAGGACAGTGTCAGCACCAATTCAGAGATGATTTGAGGACCTACAGCTGACTGATACACAAATAAGATACATTTCTGATAATAGTTAAGGTACTTGAATGCATTTTGAAGATTCTTAGATAACTCCTGAATTTAGAGTCATTTAAGTAAACCCGTTTCTTTACCTTGAACGGGAAGAGCAGAGTCTCACTTTAATACAGATATCAACATCATGGAGATACAAAAACTACAGTAATATATTTTCTGAAAGCAGAGATCCTTCTAAGGATACCGCACCGAACAGCTGTCAGTGTAGGATCTGCTGGATCACTGAACAGGAAGCCGAGAGGATTCCCAACTTCCTGCGTAATAAAACTCATTGTGGACACCTGAGGACCCTGGCCATTTCCGGGAGATTGCATTTACTTGTTGAGGTAGTGCTAGAGTTGGGGTACCCCGGGGTATGCAACCTTGGCACTCGAGGTATAGTAACACTACAGATTTCATCATGCCTCTTTCTCTAGGAGTCTTCCCTGTGTCTATCAGTCTTGCATGGCCTCATGGGACTTGTAGTCCCACAACAGCTAGAGTGCCAAGGTTGCCTACCCCTGGGGTAGCTATATCACTGTACAAGACACTGCAGAGATGTGCTCCGTTTTGGAACTGTTACCACTTCAAGTAGTTGGGGTCCAGGGCTGGATAAGCATCTCAGTCATTCTGACAGGTCCTCCTTAAATGTATTGATAAATATAAAACACTTTATATAAACCAACTTATATATCACTACGAGTGGTCCTTATTTACTTGATGCCGATTGTTGTTTTTTTTGTTAGGGAGAGTACATTACATTCATGTCTCTATAATATTTACATATATCTGTAAAACAAGACATACAGGAAATCAAAGTATCAGTGTCAGCTGTTCTCTGGAGGTAGGTGATGATGTTAGCACACACAGCCATCATTTCATGAAGGAGATGTAACAGCAGCAGCCATATTCATTGTTACCAGCTGCAACAGACACTTGTAAGTTTTGTAGATGTTCTCCTGGAAATTCTTGTTCCTGTTTTTGACCAATCGCTGATGACAAAATCTGCTTATCACAGGATTATACTGACTTCTATTTAGTAATATTTAACCAAATGAATTGCATCATAAAACAATAGAAGGTAGTGAAGCATGGGTGGGGCTTCTAAGTACAGATAAAGAGAGGATGACCTACAGATTGGTGTCACCTCACAGAATTCTTCTGTTGCATGAAACAAGGGATCTGACTGGTTGCTTTGAGCTCTCTATTGCTCTAGGTGTTCCCTATTACAGCATAGGGAACATACTGCTGCTCGCGGTATACTGAGACGCCGCAGCTGAAGCGGATCCCGACAATTATGTCTGGATCCGCCCAGCTGCATGACTGACAGCTGGCTCTACCTATCTAGAGGCAGAGCCAGCTGTACCCGCGCCCTCCCCCGTCCGTTCCGCCAGTCAGCGCTGGCGGATCGGAGCGTGGAGGGGGGAATCCAGCCCCTCCCCCTGTCACGGCAGAGAGCCGTGACAGGATCGAGAGGTGAGCGAACGCCCGTATGTGTGTATGTCTCATTGTCACAGGTCGGCTAGAACTATGAGGTGAGTGAAAAGCACTCACCTCATAGTTCTCCTTTAATTAGTTTGGTTGCCCTTCTCTGGACTCTTTCCAGCTCCAGGACATCCTTTCTGTGTATTAGTGACCAAAACTGGACCGCATACTCCAGATGAGGTCGAACCAGCAATCTATAAAGTGGCAAAATTATAGATTTGTCTCTGCAGTACATTCCCTTTTTTTTTTTACAGCAGCCTGGCATTGCAAGCTATTATTTAATCAGTGGTCTACAATGACCCCCAAATACTTTTCCTTTTCCTTTTCCATTTTCCCTAGTGGAGTCCCCATTAATGTGTATTCTGCTTGCCTATTTTTAACCCCAAAGTGCATAACTTTACATTTATCAACATTAAACCTCATTTGCCATATAGTTGCCCACTCCGCTGTTTTATCCAGGTCCTCCTGTAATGTTATACTATCTTGGTCCGAGAGTCTATAACCCTCCCAATTTTGGTATCATCTGCAAACACAGAAACATGGCTATTTACGCCCTCCCCGATATCGTTAATAAACAGGTTGAATAATATGGGGCCTAGCACAGAACCCTGGGGCACGCCAGTCCTGACACTTGACCAATCTGAAAAGGAGCCATTTATAGATACTCTCTGGACACGTTCCTGTAGCCAGTTTTCTATCCATGTACACATTTCAGCTACGCCCATAGACCTCAACTTGTGTAGTAAGCGTTTATGTGGTACTGTGTCAAATGCTTTCGAAAAATCCAGATATACCACATCCACTGCTTTTCCTCTATCCAGATCTCTACTAGTATAAGTATCGGTGCCAATACCGAGTATTTGGGCGAGTACTCGTACTTGCCCAAATGCTCCGATACCTTCCCCGATAATGGAAGTTCTGGTCAGAGCAAGATTTCCTCTGGCCGGCAGTGCTGTAGGGGGAACATTGAGCTGACTTCCCGGGCAAACAGGAAGTCGGGCAGCGAGTAATGGCCCCACCTCCCGGCTTCCTGATTGGCCAGGAATCCGGCTCTATGCTGATTGGCTGAGGAACCAGCTTCCTGGGCAATCAGCATCGGGCCAGCCGAACAGCTGATTCCATGCTGATTGCCTGGGAAGATGGCTTTCCAGCTAATCAGCATGGGGCCCGCTTCATGGCCAATCAGGAAGCCGGGTCATTACTCGCCAAGCGTCCTAATTGCCTGGGAAGCCGTCTCCATGCTGATCGACCAGGAAAACGGCTTACCCGGCCAATCAGCATGGAGCCGGCTTCCTGGGAAATCAAGAAGCCGGGTCATTCCGTGCCCGGCTCCATGAGAGCGGAAGCGCCGGTACTCGGTATCGGCGAATACCGACAACGAAATATCGGTACTCAATACTGAAAAAACGGTATTGGTGCATCCCTAGTTATCAATGCATCAAAACATAAGATACGTGTTGTGATGCATTGCTTTGGACTTCCATGGGCTAATGCACTAAAACATACATAAAAACCAGACATGTTGTATTTTTCAAAACGCACTGCACTGCAGAAATGGGAGCAGACTTTTTTTTTTTAATATGGGGACATTAGACATGAGTTTTAGTGCGTTGGAATGCATATGTTAAAAAGCAACAGTGTAACCAGACACCCTTCTAGAAATAAAAACTGCTGCTAGTAAGCATTTAGAATGTGATTTTATGGGCTTGTATACAGGGAGTGAAGCCCCGCCTTACTGGCCTCTCTCTACTCCACAGCAGGGATGAGCTCCAGTTCAGAGCAAACCCAACCTCATCCGAGTCCAGATATGAGGTGTCAATGTTGGCCTATCAGCTGCAGCCAGGATATTCCCCCACCTAAAACTGCATGTAAACAAAGACAGGATGCTGGTGACTACATTGACCTTTTATGGTCACTTCAAGTCAATGTAATTGACCAAATATGACCATGTGACCATATAAAGTCAATGATGTCACCAGCATCCTGCTCTTTTGTGTACATGCAGAGTGGGGAATGACCTGGCCACAGCACTGACGGCTTCCGTCCGGGTTCAATCCAAACATAAGCTCATCCCTACTCCATTGCATGCGGCCCCATTCATGCATGAGCATTACCAAGCAATTTTGGCGATTTTTTTTTGGGTGCGTTTTCGCACACTTTCAGTCGGGAGCATTTTGTTTTAGCCAATGGAAAGCCAGTTACTAGGAGGAGATGGTTGTTAGGCGTGAAATATGTTGTCACACTGTTCTTGTGGCTCATGGAGATCAGCTTGTGGCCAGTTTAGGATGTGGAAATGGTGCAGGCAGAGCGATCACCGCAGATTCTTAGGTAAGAAGCATCAATCCAACCTTTGGGAAGCCATGTGTGTGGAAATTATTCTTTACCATCTTGTCTTGTATTGTGATTGTAATATCTTCCTTATATTGTAAAGCGCTGCGCAAACTGTTGGTGCCGTATAAATCCTGTATAATAATAATAATAATAATAATAATACTTGGCAGTTATACACACTGGGAACACCAGCCTGGGAGTCCTGCCAGATAACACAGCAGATGTTAGCACCACACTGACACGTATGGATTGCCATGGACGTGGCTGGTGAGCAGCTGTAACTATGCACACCGTCAGTCTGGGAACCAGTGGCCCCCAAAACAACTAAAAGCCCAGTAATCCTCCCAGGCCCAGGGTACAGCCGAAGAGGATCAGCCCCCATAGCAACTAGAAGACTCAAGCCAATCAGCGACCAAGAACGATTCACGAGGGTCTAGCAGCTGAAAAGTTAACATAGCACTACCCACTGATTGACAAGAAGCATATCCAGTAAAACAACAACTCCGGAGAAGCCCCGCCTCCCCTAGCAACCAGAACGCCAGCGGCCAATCAGCGGGCGCCGGAGGAAAGGGCCCTGGAAAGCTCTGGAACATTATAGCCCCGGCGAGATGTCCGCTCCATACCTGAAGAACAGTGTGCGGTACATCTGGTGAGCCTCGTAGTAATCTCCCTTCTCCACGCTGGCCCGAAGCTTCCCCTCCACACGCTGCACTCCTCCCCGGTTCCGGGCGCTGCCTTTGGAGCCCTCCTGCTCCGCCATTGCAGCAGCCATCATGGGGAGACGTCACCCGGGCTGCGCAGATCAACACGCACTCCTTCCTCTCCCGTACGTACGGAAGCCGAGTGCGGTCACATGAACGGCACACCAACAAGTCCACGTGACTTGGAGCCCTGGAAGCTAATTGGCTGCAGCTAAGTTATTACTACAAAATCTCGAATCCAAGTTCTTTGCCTTGGTCATGTTTAGTTCAATTGAAAGCAGCAAAGGCAGGGTGATCTGGAGAGTCTCGGCGTTTTTTTTTTACATTGTATGTATAGCAAAACTTTTTTTTGTTTAGATATGGCTAGAGTAGGAGAGTGTATGTAAAGCCAACGCTTTTTGTGTAGCCTTGGATAAAGTAGGAAAGAATTAAGATTTTTCTTCACTTCCTGTCCCAGAGACACAATAGGAAGTAGAATGAAATCTCTCCAAATTGATGGCATATCTTAGACCACTGCTTCTCAGTCTTTTGTCAGTCAGAGCACCCTTTTTAAAGTATGCAAAATACTTAAAGACCGATGTGTGGCCCCCATCAAGATCAGGCTATTAACCTAGATCGGGGTCTGTTAGAGATTTGAAGGGGGCTCCACTGTGCACAAACTTTGAGGCAGACATTTGGCACTCCACAGTGCTAGGTCTGATGTTAGGTTTGTTTTAAGCAAATAGCCGCTTCAAATTTCAGGTCCAGATGAATGTGGACTGCAATGCATCTTCCCATTTCATGCTGCATCCTGGAAATTGCCCCCTCCCGTTGGCATCCCCCACAGCTTCATGTTCTGATCCTTCTTAAAATATCAGATGAACAGCTAATGTGCTTCAGCCACACATGGCCTTAGTCATAGCTATAAGGCCATGTATGGCTGAAACGCGTTAGTAGGTTTATGATGTGAACTGTTAATATTTAATAAACATTCAGACCATGGAGCTGTGTGCCAGCCAGGCAGAGCTTTTCCTGAGCACCAGCAATTCCCAGTTCATGCACAATATCGGGCTATGGGTTGAGTGGGTGTCCAATGCTGTTTAGGTAGCCTGTGTATTACTACATGAATCCTGGTGTGATTTGTGTATTTCTTCCAGATCTGTGCAGCAATCCAGTGTGAAAATGTTCCCGTGTGCAGGAGCTCCTTCTAATAAAGACCAGTCGCTGCTACTCTCTCTCAACTTATGCAGGGTGGCTGGTCTGGTCTCCGCCCCCTCCTGCAGTTTTCTGCAGGCAGCCTATAGTGGGTGGGAATGCTGAATCCCGCCCACAGCTCTTTTCTTTGCATATGCAGCACGGTGATGATGTCACTGCTACTTTACAAGATAATATCTGGGCTTGGAAAGGCATTTGTTGCATTTAAAGTGTATTTATATCCTTTGTGACTATTGAGGAATATATTGAAATTAAAGTTTTTGCAGCGGGAGTTCAGCTTTGAAGTACAAGCAAGTGATTCATATCTGTATCCGCTTATCAACACAAAGAATACAAAATCAGGCGAAATAGTTCTATAACATTTACAAACTTCAACGACAGTAGTGGTTATAAGCAGCCATTGTCATTGTGATGGATCGTGAAGGAGTTCTTTGAGGGAAATGAAAGCATATGTATAGTCAAAATGTTCTTAGTTTTAGAGTAGGGAAGGGTTATAACCTGTGTCCCTTTGGGGAAATGTCCCTTCACTTTCTGTCCTGGAGAGGCAGCAGGAAGTGAAAGGAAATCTCTACAAAATGACAGTTGTCACTGGAACAGGTGTCCCTCTTGGGTGACCTAAAGTTTGTCTTGTATTTCACCTGAAAAATAGCAGTGACATGTGACTGCACCCAGGTACCCCTTTTATGTAGACTGATAGCATCTGGAGCAGTTGTCCATGGCAACCAATCAGCTTCTCGCTTTTATTTGCAAAGCACAACTGAACCGAAGAGACACTGATTGGTTACTATGGACAACATTTTGAGTTTTGATAAATCCCCCCTCCCCCCCCCAGAATTTGGACTTCTTGGACACAAATGGGCACTAAAGACAGGTTTTAATGCATATGAAAGCACATGGAAATGTGTGAGATATGTGAATGGGTCCTTAGTGTTGCCAATAGAATTTATTCAACCAGTCTTGAGATGCATGCACCACTGTCTCTCAGTATAGCCAGGAAAATCATCATGCTGCTTCCTGGGTCACCTCCTTGCTATTTGGTCAAGTGTAATGATGCCAAATTATTGTCACATGACCAAGTGGCTTTTGAAAAACTACATACATTTTGAAGGCAGAACAGTAAACATACACAGTGCACGGACCCTAAAAAGTCACCACCTGGATTTTGGGCAGTGTTGTGATCTGGGGTTGGTCCCTAAAAAATTATTTCAGCTGCCTACCTGAATATACTGAATGATCAGGTTTTTCCATCAATGGATTTTTTTTTTCTTCCCTAATGGCATGGGAGTATTCCAAGACGGCAATTCCAGGATTCATCGGGCTCAAATATTGTGACATTGCATAAGCCTATAAAATAATGCCACAGCCAATGCATATCGTAATCAAAGCTAAAGGTGGTCCAACAAAATATTACTGTGACCTTTTTTTTTTTTTTGCCAGGCAGTGTATATATTCAGTTGTTTCGACCTCTAGGGTCCTGAAATACTGCTCTTTGGCACTCTAGGATCCCCTAGACTCCATTTTGTGAAAATTCAGTATTTGCATACAATGCGGGAACATTTTGGGATGCTAGTGGTATGTGCAGGCAATACAATCAAACTCATGGAAAACAAATTCACACTCCGCAGTGGATGTCAATTACCTCTAAAGCGGACCCAAATTATAAATATCTTACCCTGCAACATCCCAGCTCCTACACATAACACTCAACTTCCAGGCACTGAGGGAGAGTGAGGGATGCAACTCAAAGCAGAGAAGTGCTCTGGTCAAATGCCTGTCCCTACTCACTAATCATTCATTAACAACATGTCTTGTATTATTTCTCAAAGAATACAAGCCGTTCTGTGATTGGAGAAGGGTGGCGGGGATTCAACATCAGCTCTCCTGCAATCACAGAACACCTTGTATTCTTCAAATAAATAAATGGCAAGTCTCTTTGTGAATGGACAAGTAGCGAGGAGGGCGGGAATGAGTCTAGAACACTTCACTGCTAGATTCACATCTCAACTCCCCATGTCACCCAGAATCCTGAAGTTATGTGTAGGAGCCAATGAGCTGAAAGGTAAGATTTTGATACTTAGCTCTCCAAACATAACATACAGATTTTTTTTAATGATGATTTACACACCATGTATGGTGTGTAACTCTAATCCCAGAGTTTGGCTAGTGGCATCTGCACACCAAGCTTCGCTAAATTGCATTTTTTGTTTGTGCTGATGCTAATTTTCTTTCCAAAATTGTATTCAATCAGCATAAGAGAAAACATTTTCTTAGCAAGTCAACTTCACAGTGCTAATGCTAATCATAAGCAAATAGTTCATCCAATTTGACATTTACCTTCCCTGGATGCTTGTAATTATGTGGTTAGGGTGTGGCGCCTATTAGTTTCTTCTACTTCCTATTTCTGATGACAATGGATAATGGCTGTAATATTTTATAACAAGTTGTTTTTAAAAAATTGCATAGCCTAAAAAATACATGTAATGCCTTGCCCATTAACATTCTGGAGGCTACACCCAAATCATTTAGTACAAAACCACACAATAGCACAACCCTAATGGACTATATCTGTTTCTATAAAGAGCTCCACTTCCACCTCCTGACAAATCTAATCTCTGCCTAGGGCTACCACCTCATCCTTGTAAAACTGAACATGTGGATTACAGTTCTCTGGCTCATTAGAAAGGTTAATTGCGTTCAGTTTATTCTACACAACCTGTGTATTCAGATTAAAGTGACACAAAACTCAGAAGTTGAATCTAAAAAACAAATTTAAGTACCTTAAAAGGAGAACTATGAGGTGAGTGAAATTCACTCATCCTCATAGTTCTAGGCGACGTGTGGCAATTAAACTGTCACAGGTCGGCTCAATAGATCGGGAAGTGAGCGAACACATACCGTCGCTTGCTCACTTCTCGACCATCTCCCTGCAGAGAGTGGTGACTGTCACTCCCGGCTCCCTGCAGAGATTCCCCCCTCCTCCAGCGCTGACTGGGGGAGGGGGCGGGCACAGCTGGCTCTGCCTCTAGATAGGCAGAGCCAGCTCTCAATCACACAGCTGGGTGGATCTCGACAGTAAGGTAGGGATCTGTCCCGGCTGCGGCGGTCTCAGTATACCACAAACTGTAGCTCGCTAAATACTTAGCTTTGGGTCACGGGAGGACGCTAGTATATGTCCTCCCATGACCCCTTAACACAACTATGGGGAAAACCACTTACCCCATACTTCTCTTCTAACTATTAACAAAAATGTAGCTTATTTGTGAATCCCTCGTCTGTAGATCCTCAAATCATCTCTGAATTGGTGCTGACACTGTCCTTCCTTCTGGAGGGGGGCTACTTTTGTTCCCCATGGACCCTGTGTGTTGTAAAGTAGTTCAAAGCTCCATGCTCGCTCTTGTGATGGACTACAATCTCACGTTTAGGTTACCAATTTGTATTGAAATTGTAGTTTAATACAGGAGTGAGCTGTGTGAACTTTTACCCACACAGGGACCATGGAGAACAAAAGTAGCCCCCCTCCAGAAGGAAAGACAGTGTCCGCACCAATTCAGAGATGAGTACTTGAATGCATCTTTAAGATTTAACTCCTGAGTTTTGTGTCACTTCTAAAAGCTCAACTCCAGGCTCTGATTACACCTATATTGTACAAATGCAATGAAATCGGATTAGATATTCAGCTTTCCACTATAGACGGCTCTCCATTCTCATTTTTAGGATTTCTCTTACATAAGACACCCACCCAATGGAATGGAATCCATTAGGCTAAGCAATGCCCTTTTACTCTAGGCTCCTGAAACTTTAGCAAATCTGATATGCAAGTTACTATAGTCAAGTCGTCTGCATTTTAACTCTCTACTGAAGTGTGAGGCACCCAGTCAAGCTACTGGACCAACAAGGCAGGCCAATACACAAACATCCTAATTTAGGTTAGAATTTAGAAGAATACCGTATGAAGG